CCCACGTCTGCCAGGCTCTTCATCTCTCCAGGTATTTACTGCACTTGTGATTCTTTTTTTAACAATACCACTGTTTGCCTTCATTGAGTGTGGGGATGTATGTAATATCAATTTCATAATGTTCATGGAGAAGTAAGATTTGGAGAAAAACAAGGTCTTCTCTACATATCACTGCCTTTACCAATTAATACAGGAAAACCTAAACTGGACCTTAAGGTCTCTGATTATGAGGAAAGCTTATAACTGTATCCAGCCTCTACTGACCTGAAAACATAGCAAGACAAATTAACAAAGTAGGAATCAACGAATAGTTTTGTCTTTGCTGTATTTGATTAACTCCTCTAGCACCCAGGACAGGATTGCAGGAGCCAGACTTCAACACAAAAAGAACTCAGATGAAAAGGGAAGTCCCTTAGTGGAAATGAAGGAGTGCATAAGCAAGTTGCCTGTCTATGTCTGTGTGCAGATATATATAAACATTTTAAAGGAATATTCCTGCAAGCTCCCAGTTGTAGAAGTGGAAGCAAGTCACAAAGTAGCAGCAGCACTAATAGGATAGCAAATGCTGCTATCCTGTTATGCTGATACACCAGTAGGAACATTCATAATTAAATGCAATATGAAGTAGAAACTTAAACTTGTTTTATATATGGTTTTGGTTTTATACCAGAAAGTTTTCTTGAGACTGGTTTACTCCCTACAGAAGAAAGCAAAGCCATGGTGTGCCAGACAGCAAGCAGCTGTCTGCACTCTGGCCTTCCAAAGAGCTGCCTTGAAACAATAGCAACAGCAAAGGTACAGCATGAACTGGACCACTCTGTGTTTCATTAACCTCAAATGAGAAGTGTGTTTTTTTCAAAGCCAGTTTTGGAAGCATTTAAATGATAGCATTACAAAGCTAGGCAGCCTTTAGACAAACACAGGGGGTCAAGGCCTTCTAAAAAGCAAAACCTCTATCATGAACTTTTCCTTTTGCACCACCCTACCCCATCTGAAATGGAGCTTTTCACCCTCCAAGTAAGGACCCTCCTCTTATACTGCCCAGGCTATAAGGCTCCAGCAAGCTGCCACCTGTGGTCACACTCATGTCTGATGTTTGCATTCCCTGAGCACCACGTGTAAATTAACAGGGATATATCACATTTCTGACCTGGAGCTACCTAATGGTCTCTTCTTGAAGGCACCTCAGGCATTGCAATACCTAAGATTTCACATTCTAAAGGCATCCTCTACTTTTCGTCCTGTGATTTTGGTCTCCTGTGGTTTAAGAAATCTATGTCCTTGACTCCCTGGACAAAGCAAGAGAGGGGCAATTACTGAGTAATTTTCCACATTCTCAGAGAAAGGCCTAAACAATGAAAGGTCAAAAACCCAACCAGCATAACTGGGAACACTTTATGCCTTGTTAAGAAATGAAAAGACTAACAACAATTCTGTTAAAAAAATGCAGCAGTAGCCAAGAACTTGTTGCTGGAATGATCCAGCTTGCATCAGGTGACCAGACCTACATAAACTAGAAAGCAATTTAGCTTCTTTGCATGCCAAATCCCATCCCAGGTATTCTCAGGGTGTTCCTCTCTCCACATCACAATTTGAATCAGCTTCTGTTTCTATGAGGCTTGCTTGGATGAAAAGAGTTTGTAGGGAGGAGTTAGGTGCTTAGACTCGAGATAGGAAGGTTACAGAACACTGTCAACTTGAGATGAACTGACAAGTAAACTGAAACTGCCAATAATGCTTATCCAAAACTGTAATGCTCATGTGTTTAGAAGCTATACATGTCAACATAACATGGTTGTATCACAAACACAGCAGCATCATATCAGACATCAGCCATGCCCTCAGCCAAATTATTGTGTGGGGATGCAGCTTTGGTCAGCACACCTTATGCCCACTAATTAAAATCAGCTTGCCAGGTAACATATTTTCCTCCCAAATGAGTAATTTCCTGTAAAAAAATAAAAATCATAATTATAGCTTGAATAACATGCATAATCAGAAATGTTTAATTGTGCAGCAAGAATAGGTTTTAATTCATAAAAGTTAGAAGCAGCAGGGAGACAATGAAATTTATACCACACAGAATTTTTTTATGATACATTTAAGACTGTTAATAATGACTTGTAAAATAATGAGAGACTTGGCAATTAGGTAAAATATAGAGAAAATAATGTAAATAGAAAAGAGCCAACAAAGATTGCACATTCACAGAGAAAACAGTAGATAGTAGTCAGTAGACTTTGTTGTTATTTCTTTGAAAATGATGGCTCAGCACATGATCATGGTCAAAAAAAAACCCCAGGGAAACATCAGGGATCATTACAAAAGACAGTGAGTACAAAATGCTAGATAAATACATGTCAAAATGCTAGATAAATACATGTGTGCCCAGTTCGTGTACCATTGCCCTTGAAATACCTCCACAATGGTTACACAGTCACATTGCCTGAAACACATGAAGCGTTTGTTTCTCAGTGTCTGGCACCATATTCAGGCACCAACACCTGCCCTTCCACTCAGTAGATTTGAGGCTCAAAATTCAACTCATGGGCACCTTTACAGAGTTAAAATTTCAGAGGCAAAGGTTGATTGTGTGTGAAAGCTGTTTGCTCAGCTCTCAGGCACTCAGAAAACAAACCTACCACTCGTTTTCATTCATTTGATATTGGACTTAATCAACTCAAATATTCAGATGCTCCTGCTTTATCAAAAACTTTACATCTCCTGTTACTTCTATTACCATTATTCCCATTTGTGACTTGTGCTACCCACAGTGTTGACACAAGTCTTGGTGTTGGAAATATCAAACAAGGACCAGCCCAAACTTTCAAGCACAATGAATAGCATCTGAGTACCTACTGTAACCCACAGCAAGAAGACTCTGCTCAAACGAGTGTCACAACAGTGCCAGTTTGAGGTTCAGTCCTGAAATCTGCAGTGTCACCCACTTAAACAATAACCATCACTAGTAGCAGGTTAATGACTGCAAAGTGCCTGATGAACGTGGCCTATTTCACTGCTACATTCTCAAGCAGATGATGAACTGGAACAACTAAAAAGAAAGTCAATGTATCTTCTAAAATGCTAAATTTAAAACTTGGAAATGTTCTTATCTGCTTCCTTGCATTTCAAAGCACAGTTGAGTTAACTAGGCCTGAGTCCTTGGCAGTGCTCCATGGAAATGGCACAGATTTGCCTACCTAACAAAGCCCTTTTGTTTCCTACAGCTGTGAGACTTTGGTGCTCTGTAACTCTTCATGTTTCCCAGGTTACCTTGGCACCAAGCTGTGACTAAATGCCTGCAAAAGAACTTGAACTCTTAGCTTTGGAGGAATATATCCACCAGGAAGAATAATGGCTTTCAGGCTTTCAGCGGCTAGAGCGGAACAATGCTTAAAATCAGCTGTGCTTCAAGTGTTCACAAAGCTCCTGGAAGACCTGTGGCTAAATAGAGAACTGTATTCTCTGCTCTGCTGCACCACAGCTTTGCTTCCATTGCCCTTCTCATGTTGTACCTGTTCAGCTCCATCCTCCAACGCAAATGGAGGAAGTGGCTGTGACATACCTTTGCATACCTCTCAAGACCCAAGGTTGTGACAATGTGACCTCTGGTGACCCTGTCCCACTGCCCCTGTGACCCCAGGACCTCTCAATACCCCTGCCCTCTTCCCCCATGACCTCTGACCCCAGGTCTTGAACCCTGATGTGGCCCTATGACCTCTCATGACCCTTTCCCTCTGACCCTGTGACCTTTGACCACTGCCCTTGACATCTGCTGTGATCCTGTGACCTCTTGTGACCTTTGCCCTCTATTCATGACCCTTTTACTCTGTCCCATGACCTCTGACCCTGTGCCCTTTGCCCTCTGCCTTTTGCTTACTTTTCCCACCTTATCAGGGACATCTCCTGGTGCCAGGAACCCTTGGGCTGTGCTGTGTGTGTTGGCACTGGTTGGTTCAGGCTGCTGGAGGCTCATGAGTGCTCAGGGAGGAGACAGGAGGCTGGAAGGGCATGAGGAATCCTTCATCTCACTTCAGTCACTCTGGACAGAAATCAATTTTGCTGGGGAACATAAAATAATAAAAAAATCCAGCTATCTTTCCAGGTCTTGTTTTCCTGATGTTCCAAAAGCCCTGCAGGAGCTGAGGCCATAAACACAGCCAAATTCTCTTGCCACAGCCCTCAGTTTCAGGGAAAATGCTCTGCTGTTTGGCTGGAAATGTGGTATGTATAGAATTACTTGACCAAACATGAAAAGGTTTAGAATTTAGCAGACAGCAACATGATGGGCAAAGTACAAGTATCCTAATGTGTGTTATTTCCCTCTAGAGTAAATGCAAACAAAATAACAAATACTGAGGGATTTTCCTTGTCCATGCTGTGTGCAAACTGTAAAACATCACCATAACACAGCATTTTAAAAAAATTTATTATTTTTTATTATTACCACAACACCCAAACCATGTCAGCAACCAGGTTCCCAATATATTGACCACTTATACAAAGCAGAATAACAAACAGTCACTGCCTGAAAGGACTAAGAGAATCATTGTATAAAGTTATGGAAAACTCAGGCCCAAAGAAGCTACTGGATCCTGCCTACAGATCCAGCAATGATAGAAACTCTGACAGAAGCTGTTGGAGAATTCCAGGATGAAATCTGGCATCACTCCACTCAGCTGCACAACTCTCACTACCTTCCGTGAAACCAGGACTGAAAACATATCTTTGTGCTTCACAGCCCTTCGCTCAGACAACTCAGGTCTGGCATTTCACAGGTTTTCTTATTTCTACTCCTTGTTCTTTTTGCCCCAAACACATTTTTCCTATGCCTTCTGTTTACGAACTGATACTTGTATAATACAATTAGGATACAACTATATGTAATTCTATTAATCTCTGTCCAAAACTTCATTAGTTAGAGTATGAAATTTTTCACAAGGATATATCCAAAATGTACACTGCGAGGTTTTTTCCACAATATGTCCTGCTTTGAAATGCTATTTCAGTGCTTCTTGTTCTTTGTCCTGCATTTCAACTGGTGCATTTAATGAGATTGGCCTTTCAGACTTCAGTTTCTTCCTTAAAATAAGGAGAACTAGTGTACTTGGGATGTAGGACACTCCACGTAACACTGCTGGCAGGCCAAGATAGAGCCACCTGAAATAAATTATGAGCTTCATTAAATATATGCAGTTGTGAAAACATAGACAAACCTATTCAGTAAACATTGTTTTGTGAAAATTACACAGCCACTCCAAAGCTTGTGCCATGATCCTGCTGGATCTCACAGAGGATGAGCCAATATGAGGACAGAGAATATGTCAGTGTCAGTGAAATGGCTATTTGCATCACCCAATTTCAAACAAATTATTTGGCCAAATTAACCACCTGGTTCTCTTATGGCTTTCTGCACAGGAGAAAGGGAGAGTCCTGAAAGGGCAGCTCAGATCACCTGAGTAACATTTCTGGGGATTCATGAGCTGGCATTCTGCTTCCAAATCAACCTCAACACAGTGCCAAAAGGAATCAGTCTGAGGCCATTAGTTCAACAAGATTTGCCTTCAAAATTCCCACAGTGCTCCTTGAAGGACTACAAAGGTATGAAGAGTGGTATTCTGGGCCAGCTTCCAACTTGAGTTACTATATCGTTTCTAGAAATTTCTCCTCTGATTTAATTCTAGTACTGTTTCAACCATTTTCTGTTCAAAGACATTGCATAGTCACCCATTAAACATTTTTCCCACAGGACCTTACTGCCTTCTATGTTTTTTATCAGAATTCAGTGTTTTCAAGGCCTGTTCTTGTGAAAGGTTATTAGTGAATGCAATTATGGCACCAGAACATTTCTGGTGATCCAACATCTGTGTCAAAAGTTGCACTTGACATATAAAGTCCATAAAGTCCAAAAGTGTGTCACATTTCTAATACAGGAACAGTTTGTCTACTAGGAAAAGATAAAGAGCATAAAACTATATCTCTATGCATGTAATAAAACAGTAAGAAGGAGAAATTAAAATAAAGTAGAAAATATACCTGTATGTGACAATATCATATATCCTACATGCTCCTTCTCCACCACAAGTCATAGTGCCCCACTTCAAGCACGTGGTATCTATCAAAGCTCCAAAATAAATGGGAGATGGAATTCCAGCTAAAAAGAATATCAGCAACGTTTTTGTGAATAGCATATTTCTTCTGAGTAGCAGATACACTACAGGACCTATGCTGTGTCTCACCTACTCCATCTGTCCTGTCCTCTTGCAGCATGAACCACGTTCTCTGTGTATCTTATGTTCTCTCTTCTTCCTTAGCCACCTGCCCTCAACCAAAGATTTTCTTTCCTGCTGCCTGTTTAACAATATACACATGCTACAGTATGGACTGTGATTCCTACTCAAAACTCAACATTTTCTCTCATCACTGAGAGGGAATGCTGTGTTCAGTAAAGATATAACAAGAGTGAAGGAATGCAAAATGCCTTTCAGATGAGCAGCAGATGTAGTCAGCTGTCCTGGCTTCTGCTGGGATAGTGTTTGTTTTCTTCCTGATAGCTGATACAGTGCTGTGTTTTGCATTTAATAGTGTTGATAACACACTGATGTTTTAGTTGTTGCTCAGTAGTGCTTACCCTAAACCAAGGACTTTTCAGTGTCTCAGGCTCTGCTGGTGAGGAGCTGCACAACAAGATGGGAGGGAATGTGGCCAGGACAGCTGACCTGAACTGGCCAAAGGGACATTCCATACTGAAGAGAATTGGCAAGGAGAGACCCAGTATAAAAAAAAAAAGTGAAGTGCAAGCTGTCCTGACTTGCCTAGATCTGTTAAAACCCCCAAATTCTTCCTGATCAAAGGCACACCATAGAAGCAAACTCCTGTGCCGTGCACATAGCCCTGATGTGATCCCTCCCTAACTCTAGATCAGACCTAACTGTGCTTCTGAAGTGTGTTAGCTATTTTCTTACCAAATACTCTTGAAGCTAGTCCATGGATACCCACTCCAAATGACTTTTCTTCAGGCTTTAGAGACCTGTATGACAATTACATTGTAGATTTATTAGTACAGATGACATTATGGTTTTTTTAAATCAAACCCTTCTTCCCTTTAGGTCCAAACCATTCAAATTAGAGCAGTGGTTGAAACAGTTCATTATCCTCATTAGGTGACATTTACTGAAAAGTTCCTGAATTAGGACTGCCAATCAGAAAAGGAAAGGCCATTGTCAGTGGTATCATCCACTTGGGCTGAGGCCAACACAAAGTGTAAGATAGTTGTGCCTTAACCAATATCACGTTGCTGAGATTGATAAACACATGAGGATCACACAGCTGCCAATAGCTCAGTGCCCTGACACTGGAGCCCTACATTTATTCGGGATATAGCAGATAGTCAGGAGCAACAACAAGTTACAAAGCTGACATGACACTGAACCTTAGCATAGCACAGAAATGACATAAGATTTTTCTGCTCTTCCTCCTTCCATACACAAACTAACTAAATTTTAATTTCTGTGAGTCTTTGACCTCAGAATAAAAAGTCCAGTAGATTTCTTAAGACAAGGACTATACTGTACCTTATTAAGACCATATACCCAGGCATAGCTGCTAAGGAAAAAATGAAGCTGCAGACTAATGACAATATCAAAAAATAATGAAGCATCTTGTCACAGTTTGCGTCTCCAGCACACTGGCCCAGAATTGCAGAGACATTTTGAGATGAAAACCCTGAGGCTTCAACACAGGTGCAGTTTTCAAATACCTGTCAAAAGAGTACTTGGGTCACACAGATTGTCAAACTCACACACAGAGTGTGAAGCTCACACAGTTGGCTCTCTCTCTCTCCTGCACTTGAGTATCTCACACACGTGCAGCACTGTAATGCTGTAATTTCTGAAATACCTGGTTACATGTTTAAATCTACAGGGTAAAAGAGATTATTAAGTCCATGCTATAGATTTTCATTTGGGCTGAAATATTATTGGGCACTCAGGCTTCCCAGTGGCAATACCTTCAGAATAATTTCTCACTCCATTTTGAGCATTTAATATTCCTTCAGTTCTTAGAAGGGAAGGAGCCTTCTTCATTATACTCTTTAATTTAAACTAATTTTCATATTGAGTTTGGAATTCCTGGTGCTAGCCCATGAACTTGCTCAACTCTAACAGCTTATACACACAATTAAATGTACATGTATGGATATCTCCTGCCCTATATTGATACAGATATGTCTCATCTACTATATTGCATAGTTACAGCACAATAAAACGTATGCTTTACCACACTTTTTCCAGTTCCTCTTGAGGATTTACACCCAGCAAGACAAGGTGACACGTAAGTGATTCCATTGTTCCCACACACAGGGTCCCATATTTTAAGCAGGCAATCACAGTCCCTGTTGCAGCCAGCAAGCAGAGTATTTTCTGCATATGAAACTTGCTCTATTCTGAAATACAGTTAGAAGATGAATAAATATTTCAGCAATGAAATACCTACAGTAAACCCTTTGCAATGCTTAAGATTCTATTCTAGCTCAAGTGTTAATTCAGGACACAGTCCTACAGGCTCCTATCCTGGAGTTATGCCTTCCTATCTTTCTATAGGCTGTTATAGCATATTAAATTATATTGCATTAGTATTATCAATTAGCTATGCATACCCTACAGCATTTTTCTCAGCTATGGCATGTATGTCCTTGATTGCCTCTAAGTGTTGCATGTATACCTATGTGTCCATTTTACAGACACATAATTCTTCCCGAGGATTAATGCCAGGTTTCACATCAAGAAACTGCAGATAAAACATCCTCTGATAACTCAATAGCAAATTGTAGCATAAGATTAAGAAGGGCTTTTGTCTCTCTGTTATTCTGAATTGCATTCATGTGTGCCTAATTTGATTTTCACCTGCAGTTACATGATTTTACTAATTATATTAGCAAAAGGATTCATATGGACCTGCAATTGCATGAGTGTTGATGTGCTTTAATCCACTTTCATTGTTTGAACCAGGGATAACAGAAGATAGACCTCCTGTCTCATGCAAGTAAAAAGCCTTGAGAATTTAGATCGTGAAACTGAAATGTTGCAAAGCTATGGAGCCCCTGGCTGATTCTTGACAAGGAGAACCATCCCAGTGTCTTAAGACTGAAGTTTTCTTGTGCCTTAAAGAACATACCCTTCATAGGAAACTGTTAGACCAGCAACTGGTGAAGTATCACAGACAGTCCAATAGGCAGCGAAGTAGAGAAGGTACTCCAGTAAAGATACCCAATATGCTATGTTCGCAGCCTGATAGAGATTTATCTTGAATTTCTTCATGAATAAGCCTCCAAAAAAATACCCAACGCATAGAACTGGTAAGTTGTAAACACCTATTTAAACAAGTGAAACTTCCATGTTAAAATAAAGGAGACCATCAAATCTACTCTACTATAAGGTAGCTACTAGAAGGTACTCTACTATAAGGTAGCTACTATAGCTACTGTAAGGGAAGATTGTGTTTGGCAAAGACTCATACAGTGCCTGTGACTGAACAATTTAACTACTATCAGATATTTTCTCTCTACTAATTGCACACTCAAACCCTCTGCCAAAGTCAACAGCAGGTGAGAACTGCTTGGAGAGTGAGCTAGAGGGTAGGGCTGGAATGATGAATTGGGAAATTGCAATCTCGAGTTGCAATTCAGGTCCAACTCAATAAAAAAAGGGAAAAAAATACAGATATGTTTTCAATCCATCCCCCCAGCTGACAGAGTAACTCAGCAGGATGATAGGCTAGTGGAGTACATCTTAACGCACACTGAACACCACAAAAAGGAGAAACAGCCTTTCAGTTTTGATATGAGATTACTGAATGTGCTCTCACACTTCTTCACTGATTGATACTTTAATGGAGCCAATTCTGACTGAAAGACATTTTGGAAGTGGTTTTACCAAAACATCACGTGGTTTGTTTTCATATCAGCTGAATTTTCTGAGCCAATTCAAAAGATGGGAAGTAGATTAGAGAATTCTGCACAGAAAATTAGGAGAAGCTTAGCAGAAAATGCATAAATATTTAGAAATGCTTTATAGTGTGGTACCTCTCACTTGTAGAAGCATTTAACCTTAGTATGGATGTGTAAGTACAAATGAACACATACATATTAATATAGATAATTGGCATAGAGGCATCACTAAGTGGTAGAACAGAGCAAAGCAAAATGCAAACATACCAATCAAAAAGATGGCATCTGATGCAGATTTTCCAAACTGCTGCTCCAGATATTTGGGCATGAAGGATATCATGCCATCAAAGGCACTGAACTGTAACACAGTTATGCATATAAATAACATATACACTGGGTTGCGAAACAGAGCCTTGAGGAAGGGGATGAAATCTGGAATAAAATAATGCCACGAGTTAGTGTGATGCTTCAGGAAAAGAATGACCCATTGCTCAGTGTGGCTGAGGGTAGAAGAGAGGAACAGAAACGGTCCTTGACTCGATCAGGCTGAATCTTGTGCTTTGCCAGACACCACAGGCCAAAGTTTACTTGCTTAGCCCAGGCTACTCTAACGTGTCTCCTCTGCCCAAGGATACCCTCACACACACACACAGACCAATGCATGCTGCTGCTTATAAAAAACAGTAATAAATCACAGCAAGAACCTTATTGTAAAAGTTTCCTGAAACTTTTTAGCTGTACAGTGACCAAATTTTGCACCTACAGATTTGAACCAGCAGCTATTCCTCCATTTTTCCTACTCCTTTTTCTCTCATCTCATGCCTCCAGAGCATTCACCAGAACCCCTTTTCTGCACCTGGCATACAAAGGGTGTACAAGGGGAAAGGGGTCCAAAGAGGCAACCTGCCCCCAGAGACTTGAACAATGATTTTGGTTACTGCTTCTGTCAGTGCTAGGGCAGACAAGGCCTGAAGAGAGATGTGACCACAGTTATACCCACCATACTCTCTGTATCTGCCAGTCTTCAGCCAAGTAAGCATCTGAGAAACTAATTTACACAGTTGTTTTTCTCTGTATAATGCCTATTAAGTCAGGATCTGAACCATAAAAAAACCTCCACAATTCCCTTTTGTCTAATGTTCTCTGTTAATTAATGTGCTGAGCTATTGTCAAGAAACTCTGCAGAAAAACACAAGCATCTGCAAAACAATGACTGTGCCTCACTGGCAGGGGCAATATATATCTATACTTAGAGAGGATACATATCTTTCAGAGGTAGACAAGTATCTTACAAGATGAAAACCAGAGTAGGTATTTCATATCTTGGACCCACCTTTACTTACACAAATACACATAGTTCACGTCGTCAGGACTAAATTAAGAAGGAATAAAACACAATAGAACTTGCCTTTAGCAATTTCATACATGGTCTGTTTGCCTTCATTTTTATCATTTTCTTGCAACGGGACTACACTTTTTTCACTTGTCTCCTCAGGTTCATTGGTTTCACCTTCCTTCACAAGTGACTTGGGCAAAAACCAAAATGGTATTCCCACGAGAAGATTGAGTAGTGCACAAATCAAAATGCCCAACCACCATGCTCCAACCCAGCGGGCATCAGTAGCTGTTATAGTTATGTCATCTATAATGAAAACCAAAATCAGTTCAGAAACTTTCTTTGCTGTCACTGTGTGCTTGGCTAGGCACGTGATATACTAGAAGCATTTTAATGATTCTTAAAATCATGAAGGAGAATAGCCTTCAGCCTTCTTTTCTAGTGTTGAAAATTTTCTGCCAAATTTCACTGTTTTAAATTAATTTAATGAATTTTAAATTTCAGTGTGTTAAATTAATTCTAGCCCTTTCCTGTGTTAAGCCAGGTAACACAACTGTCCATCAAATAGTCTACATGCAGATTCATCTGTGTATCAGTGAATTGACTATTATACACAGATCTTCAATTCAAAAAGGAACACCAGCAAACTGATAAAATGAAGACATCTCATATTAGCAAAGAAACATCTTTTAGCTCTGACAGCATGACTACCAATTTATACATGACATTTTATATATTCATCCATTACCTGCACCTACTGATCCAACGTCAACAAACAGTTCTGCACAGAATGATGCCAACAATAAACCAAGGAAGGGGCCAATTACAGTTGCTGTGTGTAGACATGCTAGAGTAGGAAAAGGAGAAAACAATACTAAATTAGAACTCAGACATAATCTTTTCTTGGATGCATATCTTTAGGACACATCTACTCAATAGGCATCTGTGCCTAAAAATGGCCTCATTTCAAGAAGTTCATCTCCAGTTAAATTACAGGTTCTACAATATTATTGTTTTGATAGGGCAATAATGACTGTGTTCTCCCTTTATTGGACTGAAGGGAGTCACAATAATCCTTTCTTTTGCTTTTATTTATGTATGTGTTTGCTTAGGGGAGAGCAGTTATCACAAGAGGGTAGACTTACCCAGGTAGAAAGGGGAATTCTCTGCTTTGGCAAAATCCTCCAAATAGGAAATGCCTAATGGCATGATGGGAGTTTCACCCATTCCTCGCACTATGTTTCCAACCATCACAAATATCCACAGCAAGGATCCAGGCTCTTTTTCACACTCTGTGAATAAAATAAAAAGTCAGAATTAATGTTTTAATTCTAACTATTAGTGAAAAGCTAGAGACAAAGAACTGACTAACAGCTTGAGCTTTAGTGAGTAGGCCTGTTCTATAAAAAAAGGGAAATAATTGGTCATGATATTTGAAAGGCTCTGGAACTAGACCCGAAGAATAAATTCTTCTGTGTCTAAATCACTGGTTGTTTGCTGGTAAGTTCAACCATCACTGTACAACAGTCCTCATCACCTGGAATTCCCTTACCTCAAAGACCTGTACTGATTTTGGCATGGCATATCAATGACCTCCCTAACCAGAAATCTCATCTGTCTGGGTATTCAAAATCAGATTTGAGGACAAGGCAAATTCTGATTTGGAAAATAATATACAAATTCCACCACAATTGCTGAATGACATCAAAGGTTACAGAAAGGTTTTCTACCTCCATCATGCCCTTACAACTCACAAAGTCAGTGTTTCCCTAAACAGGCACCTACTGGAACACAGCCCATGATCTGCCTGTTTGGGCATTGCTCTGAGGAAGTCTCTGTCTCACTGTGACCTTCATACCACTCTTGATCACAATCAAGACCCATAACAATATACCTGGCCAGGCTGCTGAATCTGCCTGGGGATCCCACTCTCATTGATTCACCCCGATCCTCCTACATAACCCAGCAGGATACTGTGCTTGGAATCCAGATCCATTACAAAATGGAGACACAGAAAACTACAGCACAACACTATGGTTTGATGTTCATACATTATGACAGCAGAGAGATTCAGCATTAGCACACAATGATGGAACAGCATCACCAAATGTAATAAAAAACTGGGGTTTGTGGCATCTAACTTTTGCCATCCACCAACCATCAAAGTTTCCTGTAGTCTGAAGACACATCCAGGAGGTAATCTGACCCACCCTAAAGAGCATGAATGTCCTTACAGCAAGGGACAGGCTCTGCAAGAGCTCTGTACCCTCCTTGTGCCAACTATCAAGGGAGTCTAGAGACATGGTTCAGACTAAATGCTTCCCTTTGAGGTAGCTAAAGGCTCAGGAGATTAATCCCAGCCTCAGTGTAAGAATTTTGTGTGTGATCATTTAATAGTTGCCTCTGAGCCTTTTGTCTTCACAGTAGTTACTTCATATGCACATTTCTAGTGCACATACATGTGTCATGCTCAGAGATAAGGTTTAGCCTAGTTTAAACCATTTTCTCTTTTCTCTAAAAGGAATCAAGATCTATGTTTTGTTCTATCTCTATTTCTCATTATTTCCTGTGTGTACAACAAAAGAGAATCTTGAAGCCTTTTACCCATTATCCAAATATGCTTCCCTCCTCCTCACAGCATCATAGTATTTCAAGTCAAAAAGAGGAATATTTGTGAGAACAACCTGGTGTTATATTTCCCCAAAGTGAACTGCCAGGGATGTTAACTGAGCTGTTCAGATACTGTGAAAACTGGCTGAAAAAATGTTTTAGCTCTGGAGTCACAGACCAGAGAAATAAAAAGGCCAGGAAATTTCCTGAGCTCTAGCTTTTATGCCTACACAAACTACTGACCAAAAGCAGGTCCCTGAAATAATTGCTAATAAAAATAAAACCCTATTTACTTAGACACTATAAAGACTGAGAAAAAAGTATTAGAAAGCATAGAAAGGGTCCTACCTGTTGATGGTTCATCTGTAGGCAAAGAGGCATTAACAAGGCATAGAGGCATCACTGAAAAATTTTCCTGTTGTGAAATGCTGCTCTCAATATGATACCTGTTGAATCAAAGGAAAGCATGTACAGGTTAAGAAGATATACACGAGAACAACCCCATAGGTCTGTGCTATAGAAATTACCTATAAGAAAAATGTGCAGCTATAGGAAGAAGGAAACCCATGTCAAAAGCTAACTGAGCCTCAGTAACAAAACAGGCTAGGTACAATGGAACTGTTACAGTGTTTTATCCAGACTCTTGTCCAGCCTCTGACATAATCTTGTGACAGATGCTTCAGGAGGAGCTGATGAACCACCCTAATGAAATATCTCATAGCATCTTCTCTCCTGCTCTTATATTTTAATCCAATTTACAGCCTAAGCAGAGGTGCCACCAAGGCTCTCAGAGTCACACTACATTGGACATAACAGGATTAGAGGAGCTTCATTTGTCAGAAGATATCTTACTGATTAAAATATAAAATCATAGAATCCCAGAATGGCCTGTGTTGGAAGGAACCCTAAAGATCATCTAGTTCCAGCCACACTGCTGTAGGCAGGGACACCTTTCACTAGGCCAGGTTGCTCAGAGCTCCAACCAATACAGACAAGCCTATATAATTATGTTGTTAAGCCAAGCAAAAATAGTGAAAAAATGGCTGAAGTATCATTATAGTCTGTAAAGGTCTTGACAACAAAATCAAGTATGATCTGTCATCAGGCTCCAGGCCAAAAATGTCTTTAAAAATCATCTTGTATTGCCCCTCCAAGCAGTTAAGAGCTGGTAGTATAATGTGCAGTATCACTGCCCACTGCTTGGAGAGCCCACACAGAGGGTAGCACAAGGACAAAGACAAGAGCAAAGGAAAGTGTCCAGCAAGAGGGGTGACTCTCCTTAGACTGATTCTTGAAGCCATCTCAGAAGCAAAACAAAACAAGCTGCTCTACAATTATCATATTGAACCCATGCTCAGGAATGTCTTTCTCTTTTAGCAACACCATCTCAGTGCAAGGAGTTAAGGATCACAGAAGCTGCTGTGAGCTAAGCAAAATACTCACCTTCCAAACAGGAAATGAGGGAGTGATATCAAGAGACATCCAAATGACAAAATTGTGCATCCCAAAGCAATTATTCTAGGCCTGTGTAGCTTGGCTCCAAAGTAACTCACAAATGCTATCAGCAGCAAGTTACCTGCAAAAAGAACCTGGTTCACATTTGCAAACATCCCTAGACCTTTTAGGATGCAACAAAAATTTGAGTATATCTTGTAAGCTCAACATCTGTTACTTTTCTTGTCTTGCAAAAAGTGTAACTAGACAGGGAACTGCCCACATGATGCAGAAATTCCCTGCTACGTGTGATCTTTTTTTGGAAGAGTTACATCACATGGAAAGAACATGAGAATAGAAGAGAGAATGGAAAAGAGATCACAGTGAGAGAGATTTTTGACTGCACCTATGTAGAGAAGAAATCTCCCACTACTTTACATAGAGATCAGACCCACGGGCTGCAAAATAACAGTTGTTTTCGGAAGTTATTCTCCTAGAATACTTTATTTTGCAATGTGTGGGGAAATGTACTTCCCCACACATTGTACAAAATCAGGTTTTGTACTGAAAATAATAAACACAAGATGACAGCCAGAGAAAAAAAAAAGTAAAAATAAATTAATGGAGAAGAATAAATTAAATAGATTTTTGTACCTAGTACCATTTAAAACCACAAATGTGCTAAAAATCTTCATTCTCCTCTCCTTCACTTCAGAATCAGTTGATTTTCTCTACTCTTCATTTATTGCTATGCAACTAAGAAAAGAATCAAGCTCCATGTTATGAATCAGGCTCTATAAAAATAGCAATTTAGTAATCATACACCTACTAATTTTGTGAGCTCTTTGTCAAAAGAACAAAATCATGTCTCTGAGTGATGAGCATCATGCTCTGAAAGATTATGCCTGTTTTTATGTATGATTGACAAACAGACTGTATTGAACCAGTGGTTTGAATGACACTTAAAGATGCACATTTACATGGTCCTAATAAATCACTTATGTTTGCCACATACACTAACTCTTTATAGTTCCAAATATTATTATGATTAATCAACAGTTATTTTACATCCTTGGAGATAAGAGTACCACAACTTGTTACAGAAAAGTGCATATGAGAGGATAATTTATTTAAAATAATAAGGTTTTTACATACCACTTGATCAGTTCATATTTCTTAAAGTCTCCTCCTCATCAAAAGTAGAATATATTCTGGGTATTCCTTCTCTATCCTAACTACCACTGAATTGCCCCATCAGGCTGCTTTGCTGGCTGCAGCAAGGTGCTGCCAACAGCTCCTTCCTCTTGCACATGCAGATAGAGGAGATCAGGAAAAGGGGGAGAAGGAGCCTTATCTCCCCTCCCATCAGTGCACATGAGCCTGTGCAGACCATTTCCTCAGCTGAGCCAGGGATATTAAAGATCCACATTGTGACTTGCAGGGTATAAAAAAAACCTCCTCTAAGGATCTCTGTTTAGATGGTTTTGAAGGTCTCAAGTCTTTTGTTCGGCTTTTTTTGGCAATGACAAGACATAAGTTTGTCACTGGGCAATAAAACTCAGTGATAGTCAAGGTAAGAGTCACTAAAAGCAGAACTGGAAACTTTCTTTACAGTTGTACAGGTACAAAATCCTGAAATATTAATGAGTTTAAGTAAGGAGACAATCCACTCCAACCAACTTTGATTCAAAGAACTGTAAAATGCTAAATATGACTTTAAATTCAAACAGAGTTTTAGAAATCTTCTTGTTTGTTGACAAAGATTCAATACAAAGCTCCTTAACCAGTTCTATTTTGTTAGTTGCTCTGCCATATTTTATGGCAGTGCAGAAATCAGATAATCTAAACTTTTCATTGAAGTTGTCCTATTAGTTTCCGAGGCATGACATGGTTAAGTATCAACTGAAATGGGGTTGGCCAGGATTGTCACATACAGTAATCAGCAGATTGCTGTGGACATGACTCACTAATACACGCTCAGACAAGTAATATTTTCAAAGAATAATAAATATTAAACTGAGAGATTACCAATTTCAAAGCTTCCATTAATGATCCCCACTAAAGAAGCTGGGATATTAAATTGTTTCTCTATCTGTGTGTACATGCTGTTCATGTAAGCACCAGACATCGTTTTTCCAACAAATGTAAGTGACAGTGCCAGCAGAAACACCTAGGAAGGAAAAAAGAGAGGGCATAAAGAATTCAGAATTATATAGTTCTGAATATTCCATGGTTATTTTCTCTACCAAGGATCTGCTTCCAGGGGGAAAAAAAATTAACAATTCTGTTCCACTGTTTGTAAGTCCCATCATCTATCCTTCATCCATATCATATATCCTTGTTATATACCTGCTCCCATTGACCAAGCCTGTCTTCAGAAACTTCAAGCCCCCTTTCCCCAGCCAAGATTGCCACCTGCAGGACCAGGTCTGCAGCCAGACCAGGGTGCAGAGACTTCCCACCCTCTGCTCATGACAAATCACTTGCAGAACTGAGATTGCTCCCTTTGATTGAATTAGTTCATTCAGTATCTGCTCTCTCATCTCAGCAGAGTTCATGAGCTCAGAACAAGTAATTTCAAGCAGAAGGTGTAAATAACATTTTTACAAGACAATTAATAGCAATTGACAGTAAAAAAGAAAATAAGAATGTGTGCAGTACGATTCAAATCCTTTTAACTTTAGGCTTCTTAATAAACAGTATCTATCAAATTAAATCAACAGCATCTTTAAATATATCTGCTCCAAATGCTAAAAAGCATCAGCAATGTATTTGGGCTTTGAATTGCTACGAAAAACAACTTATTTTACAGCATCTGTAGCAATTCTGGATAACTTGAATAGTCGAGGGTACATGAACAGCCAAATTTTACTGCCACTTCACAATTGGTGATGCTCATTTCACAGGTTTAAGCAGCAATGGTAAACATGTGAAATTGAGGGGATTACACAAAGGCAGAGTAGGAGCTTCAAAGGAGCAATCAACCATACCACCAGCACACCACAGTGTAAAGTTCAGGGCCAGCAAATGCAACATATGGTTGTTTACAAACTTGCTTGACCTTGGTTAGGGCATTAAGGATAGAAAAGAAACAGCTTATTCATTCATTTGGTCTTAGTAATTTCTACCAAACTTCTATAAAGGCAAGCAACTACAATTGTGTGCTCATGCAAAAGTGCTAAAATATTTCTGTACCTTCAGCTTGGAAATGCAGCAGAATTTGTCCTCTGCATGTGGCTTCTTAGCTTCTTTCATGCTGCCTTTTTTAATCGATTCCAATGTCTGACTCTGAGTCTGTCCAATGATCCCATTACAGTGTTGAAAAGGACAAAAGAAAACAAGCAAAGTTTTTGTGCCATATTTGCAAAAAAAACCTGATTCCTTCTAAGATATTTGATATTTGAGCATCTTCCTTAAATAATTGCAAGCTGGACTCCAACAAAACCTATAAGCCTATACACTTGTCCAGCTGTGTTGGACATTAATCTCTTGGCATGAAAATTAGAGTAAAACTCAGAAAAACCAAACCCATCAGACCAACTTAAGTTCTAAATGGAAACAAAACAGATTCCATTCTGCTTCCCCTCCCAAGAGCTGCAAAAACATCCCTCTTTATTTGTCTGCCTACTTTTAGCTATCTGCATCTTAAGATGATGGTTAGAGTTCCTGGTAGTGCTAAGCCACCTGCTTTTTTACACCTCTTACATATATCCCAAAAACATGTTCAAAGAAGCAGCAATATATTTCAGGGACTTGGATATACCTACCTGTAAAAGCCCCTACACATCTGAGGGTTAGCACAATGAGTTAAACAAATTTAATTCTGAGGACTCCTACAAAGGTTTCGTTAAATCAAGTTATTCAAAAGTTTCCTGCTGCCTGATTGGGTAAGCTGAAGAAAACCAGGGCAAGTCAGAGCCCTACCTTATAGTCAGGATGGATATAGGTTTATTTCCTCTTTTTTTGCCTTGGATACACTTTCCAATTGTGATCTTGCAGCACCTGCTCTTCTCTGTGTTTTCCACTTCATGGAGCCATGGGCAGGAAGCAAGTTTGACAAACCCACCAATAGGATTGAATTGCCTTTCACATTCTTCAACCCAACACCCTCCTGGTCAATCTCTTCAAACATTAATTTCTACAACAATGTTAATCCTCTCAAAGGTGTTTCTTAACTAACTTGCTTCCTAGCAAATTCACAGGCATTAACTCCTTCTATAGCTACCTCCTCATTTTCAGCCTCTTACAGTGCAATGCTATATTACAGCAACCCTGGAAATACTTAACTATGATATATACATAGTTTGTGTTTCTGCTTTGCTTACAGATGCTTACACAAAGTGTGTTCAATCACAGGACTAAACTGTGCTTATAAAGCTTTGCATTTTCTTTGCAATTTGGAATAAAAGTTGCATCCCAGGGAATCATTTATGCCTTATCTAAACACTGCCTTGCTCAGGCTGAAGCCAACCAGTGATGCCCAAAGGTGAGCAACATGACTGCAGTACTCTGTGTCTGGCCTCTTCTGCTCCTAGGAGCTGGCAAGGGGATTCTTTCCCTGACTATACTAGTCCCTGCTTTTCACTCACATACACAGGGAACATCATCTGGCTAACTGCATGTTCTCTTCTGGTGCTATGAGATACCAGTGAGCAACCACTGACTGAGTTTGTCTTGGGGCATCAGAAACATCACACTGCCCCACATACAATTACAGAGGGCAAAACAGCAATGTTTGCCTTCATTTATTCATACCTTCCCTTCAAGCATAAATTATGGCAGAAAAAATCCATTTTTTACTGTGAAGTTTTTAACTGGATAAGCAAATAGACAGAATAATTAATTCCAGCTTTGTTCCTGAGATTGTTTTCCCAAGTTTTGTATAGTTTTTGTGGTCACACTTTGTCTAATGGAACTGAAGCCAATAGAGACTAACAGCCTAGATTATCAGAGAGATGTAGGTGCATAACTCACTCAGGTCAGATGCATTTACATCACACTTTAAATCCAGGTTAGAATCCAAACTAGTATTTCTGTGCCTAAAGATGAACCAATAATGTTTCCATCTACCTGCTCCCATCTACATTCCTGTTGCTTACCTTGCTTACACTCTTGGGCTCTTCAGACTCATCTGCAAGCCTCTTTAACTCAGTAAACAGGCACAAATTAATGCAGTAAAAAGATTGCTTTTCAGGTAGTGAACTGATTTGACCCACAGAACAGTTCAACAAGCATCAGACCCAATAAGCAAAAGAGCAGGAAAGTGGAGCCAAGAACATGAGAAGAGAGGAGAAAGTGGGGGGTGAAAGCAGAGTAGGAAAGGATGGAGAATGAAACCTGCCCATTTTAGCAGCAGTGTTGTGTTGCATCACTTCAAATATTTGTGGATCTACAGCCTCAAGCCCTAACCTAAAGGCCAGCCCTGGACACAGCTGGAAATCTAGGATCAGCAGAGCTGTAAGGAAACTCTCATTCACTGAACATCCATCAGTACCTCCTCAGCCAACAGCAAGAGGAGAGCCACCTTATGCTACTAGGAGAGTTACTTCAGTTTTGTAACAAATCACTTGAGGAATATGCACAGGCCAGGTAAGACTACATAGTTTGCCCCTGGGTTCTGACTGACCTACCGGCTATCATATCCTCACTTGAATCCTGCTCATAAGCCTGCAATGCTCACTGAAATTTCAGGGAAAAGGACAGTAAAATTCCTCCTTCAGCTCCTGCACAGAGTTGGTGGCATACTTATGGCAAGCCAAGAAGTTAGCAGTGACACCACGACTGCCTCTTCCAGCCATCTCCACTACTGGACTAAATCTCTCCTGACAACAGCAGGTTAGCATTGAGACAGGAGTCTGGACTAATTTGTCTCACACAAACATACATACTTTTTATAGTTTAAACTACATTTCACTTTCACTAACAAAAAGGACAAAACCACACAAGTATCTGCATTTGAAGTTTATGATAAATACTTTACAAGTTGCCTTGTCTGAGTCCCAAGGGAACATCCTACTTCAATATAAAATTCATCTTCCATTTGGCTCAGTTTAGTCATATGGATAAACTGCTAAGTCCTTGTTTTGTTTACAAATAGGATTAAAAATCACATGAGGTAACCATGCAGAGAGCAATTATACTGTCAGAATTTTTAACTAATTTATTTTTCTGGTTGCAAAAAGCTCTCTGAAATCTTGTTTTACTAGGTATAGGTCAAACTGTTACTCAAATGCAATTACACTAATGTTAGACTGAGACAAAGCCAAATATTCTCATGGCAAAACAATTAGGTACTTACAGTTTTGCAAAGGTTTCTGGAAGAAACGACTGATAGAGCACACTTGAACTTTGGCTCTTAATCTACATTGTTGAAAATTAACCCAAGTGTACCTAGTGCCAAATTTTTGGTTTTGCCAAATGATTTTACATTTTACAGTACTCACTCAGATGACACAGGCATGAGTTGAGTTCTTAAAAAGAAAATTAAGTCCATGTCTTTCTCCTCCCTCCCCCAACAAAGGCCAAGGTTACAGCTGAGCATGGGATGTTGTCACTTCTGCCTGCTGAAGACATCCAGAGAGCACTCACAAGCCAGAAAGGAACTTCACAACTGCACAAAACTCTAGATTTACAGGCTGGGTGGTGTCTTAGCAAGCGATGACACAAGCTTGAAAGGGAAGAGGGGAATGAATTTTTGTTACTGATTACTGGACATTTCAAAATCAGAGAGTAGTTTGACCAAGCGTAAATAGTTCTAGATAATGTGAGAAGAAGAGATATTTGACTTGGATTGAATCCATGAGACATCACATCTAGGAATCAGTAGTTACAACTTCAAGTATTGGTGCTGAGACAGGTTTCACTTGTGACCTTAACTCTCTTGTTGACATTTGTTTGTCTGTCTAACAGAAACAACTATTAATGCACATAAAAATCCTAAATGCAAGGTCTAAAATGTGCGGTGAGGGTGGGATTGGGACTAATGAAACCCTGACTTCGAGCACAACCTCTTCATGATGGTCTCCAAATCACACCTGCTGTCTGTCTGTACTGGGATTTTGCTTATACAGGTTAACTACCAATAGAAAATATGTTTCCCCCTTTGATCTGAGTTAAATTCTTATTTCTCACTAAGACATTTCAAAGGTTTTGTTGCATTTCATATTTTCTTCATTTACCTATTTCCACTTTTGGGAAATTAAAAAAATCCTTTGACAAGATAATAAGAAACAAACCTACAGTCCAAGCTCTGCCACACATTGCTTTGTGTTTACAGAAGACTACAATCAAAAAGCAATAATGAACAGAAGAAGGAAATGACTGAGTATAAAGCTGCCTTAACTCCATGCGCCCATCCTTGCTTCCCTTAAAAAACCCAGCTAAAGGTGATGAGAGGTATCACCCACCACACTGGCAGATGCTCAGCAGTGTACATCAACAGCACAGCAGTGTTCATTCAGGTGTGAAATGAGTTCTCTCCCCTACCCATACCACGTGCAACAGCCCTCTGTGTATAACAGCCTCCTTCTACATAGGAGAGAAGTCTCAGTGCCATTAGAGAATTGCCCTTGCTTTTGCTTTTAAAATACCTTCACTTCAGAATCCTAATTGCAATAGTTAGCTATGGAAATCAGACTGCAAGCACCTCATCAAGAGATTTGTCTAGGAGAATCCACATGGAACTTGATACATGAGATTTATCTTAACTCCTCAGAAACTAGAACTGTAGATCTCAGTTTAGTTGTTTATTTACCTTGTGTTGACATATTAACAGGATTTACCAGCCCCTTCTTCTCTCTCTCTCTAACCCCATCCATTTAATATCTCATTTTATAACTATTTGTAGACTATATTCTACATATACTTTATATTTTAAACCATGCCTGTTTGGGGAGAGGATATACCATGATTTTGTCTACAGAGACTCTTATTTTCCAGTCTTCTTATTCATCATAATTACTTAAAAGTGAGTTTCTGAGATGCAGACAAGTGTTTGCAGTATCTACAAGAAAGGAAAAGGTGAAATAAAAGCTATTGTCTGGGGGCTTAATGAATTATTAAATAAATAGCCATGCAATAAAATTTCATGAGATAAAAAAATCATAGTAACATCACATACAGGACTGTGTCATTCTACAGACTCTGCAACATTCTTTCCACAATAATAATTACAGCTCAAGGCAACGTTGAAGGATTCAGACTGAGCAAAGGAATTACAAAAAATGGAAATCAAGATTTCCAGTAAAATAAACACC